GTCTTCGGCCGTCTTGGCACGTCGGAACAGTGAACATGCAACGAAGCCAAAATCTTAGGAAAGCCATAGGAAATTAATGATTTTGATCTCTTGGGGCCTTCTTCAGAGAACTCTGCGAGGTTCGTGGGGCCTTCTCAAGCTGTCAGGGGGAACTTTTAAGAAGCTTTTAAGGCAACCCGAGGACCCTCGCGTACCCTCGTAGGTGCCTCTTCGGACGAAGATCGCTCAGTTTCGCGCTGGAAGGCTGAGATCCTCGTGAGGGGTGCCGTTTCTGAAGGCCGTCTTGGGGCTCTCTGGACAGACATACATAAACACTACATGCATACATACATGCATACATGCATGCATGTATACATGCATACATGCATACATACGTACATACATACATACACACATACATACATCCATACATACATGCATACAAACACACACAGACACATTATATTGCGTTATGTTACATTACATTACATTACATCACCTTACATTACAGTACATCACAATATAATACATCACATTACATTACATTACATTACATTACATTACATTACAGTACAGTACAGTACAGTACATTACATTACATTACAGTACATTACATTACATTACATTACATTACATTACATTACACTACATTACATTACATTACACGACACGACACTACACTACATTACATTACATCAAATTACATTACATACATCTATATATACAAAATGCATACATACATCCATACATATAAGAAGATATTGCGTCGGCGGCTGGGCAGAAGTTACTGCTCCGGCGATCGGGCATCAGTCGGGCGCGCTGGATGCAAAGACACACACGCACGCACGCACGAACACGCACACGCACACGCACACGCACACGCACGCACACGCACACGCACACGCACACACACACACACACTGACGCACATCACACACAAGGACGAAACAAGAACCCTAAGGGCGGCAGAATGAAAACAGATTCTGGCAACGGACCCAACCGTCCGCAAGTGTGAGTGCCGCAAGGCAGGTGGAACGAAGGTGGCGTCACAAAACGTATGAGTTTGTCGAAAATGGCGGGGTGACGCCAAGCGGGCGCTGCCACTGGGGCCTTCGGTGGGGCTCCCTGTGGGACCAAGACACGTGTGAGGGTTGTGCCGAAATGTGCGGGGCGACGCCATTCGGGCGCTGCCACTGGGGCCTTCGGTGGTGCTCCCTGTGAAGCCCTGAGACGGGTGAAAAGTATGTCGACATGAGCGAAAAAATGCCCCCCCCTCCCCCTCTCCTTCGCAGCCCTTCTGGGGAGCCAGGGAAGGGGGAGAGGCGGAACCTCCCCCTGCCTGGCTCGAACCCCCCCTGGTTCGAAAGGGGGGGGTCAAACCCCTCCCGCCCCCTGTTCGAACCCAGGAGGAGGGGGGGGGGGGAGGCCGGGGCCGGGGGTCGAGGTTGGAGCTGGAGCCAGGGCAAGGGCCCAGGCTGGCCTGGGGCCGAGGCCAGAACCGGGGCCGGGACCGAGGCCAGGATCAGGGCCAGGGCCCGGGGACCTGATGAGCCAGCGTTGGCTGACTACCTACCAGACCATCCCAACCCAACCCGAAGACCCGAATTTCGGGTTGGGGGGGATACGGGTTCCATATGTGTTTTTTCAATGTTCCCCGAGCCCCCCACCCACCGGAAATGGAGGGCAAATTGAGGCCTTCTGGTTAGCTTGGGGTGGTTTTGTGGGCGGTGATTGGCGCTGGTTGTGCCTTCTGCGCTGGTGGTTTATTCTCTCACGGTGACAGTGACCTTCGGCTTCGGCTCAGTGGAATACCTCCATGGCTGCTAGCCAGGCGGGCGCACTGGGCCAGGCGGGTTCTTGACCCCAGGAGGGATTTTTCGTTGTACGGGGTGTCATTGGCGCTCAGTCGGGCGCCTTTGGCTGTGGAAGGTCGCGACGAATCTATTCATTCACGGTCGCGCCTTCGGCTTGACCGCCTCAACCTTTGCTCGGGCGTCGCGGTCAATGAACGGCTGAATACTAGCCGGCCGCTCTGCGGTTGATCGGGGGTTTCTGTACATAGAAGAACGGGCGTGCGCGGGGCGCGTGGGGCCTGACTTGCACGAGCACCGAGGGTCGACTTTGGCGGGTTGTCGCGAGCGAGAACCCCGGACTGGGACACGCCCCGTGCGCGGTGGCAGATCCAGTCCCCGGAAGTGGTCCCTGCTGGCGCGGTGGGGCCCTGAACGTTCAGGCATGCAGCCGCCCCCGCTCCCATGCTGGCAATATACATTTGTTTCTCCTCCTCCTCCTCCTCCCCCTCCTCCTCCTCCTCATCCCGCACCTCCTCCAACTCTCTTGTTTCTCATCCTCGTCAAATTCCTCGGGGACCTCCCTCGGCGCCCTTGCGCGCGCCGGCACACCCCCGGAAGCAATCTCCACCTCCTCCTCCTCCCCCTCCTCCTCCTCCTCCTCCGCCTCCTCCTTCTCCTCCTCCGCCTCCTCCTCCTCCTCCTCCTCCTCGGCATCCTCCTCCTCGGCGTCCTCCTCCTCCTCCTCCTCTTCCTCCTCCTCCTCCTCCTCCTCCTCCTCCTCCTCCTCCTCCTCCTCCTCCTCCATTTCCTCCTCATCATCCTCCTTCTCTTCTT